TCATTCAACTCTGTGTGTGTGTGTGTGTGTGTGTGTGTGTGTGTGGGGGGGTAACTGTCTTCATGCCTGAGAATAGGTGCAGAAGATAGACTGCAAGGCTGTGAGTCGTAGTGGTGAGAAGCTCGGGGACTTCTGATGCAGATTTTTTTATTTTATTTTTTGGAAAGCCAGTGCTTCTTCATGCATTACAGGTATTACATGATCAGACTATTCCTTCTGTCCAATCCTCAACAGCCCTTCCTTGGACACATTCCTCATCTATTCAAGAGAAAGCATCCAACTTGCTAGCAGTAATAAATGATTCAAGGGTACTGGGATACTCTCCTTGCTCCAGTAATACACTCCTTTTATGTCATCCAACTCTCTCTCTCTCTCTCTCTCTTTGTGTGTGTGTGTATGCGTAACTGTCTTCATGCCTGAGAATAGGTGTAGAAGATATACTGCAAGGCTGTGAGTCGTAGTGGTGAGAAGCTCGTTGACTTCTGATGCAGATTTTTTTTTTTTTTTTTTTTGGTAAGTCAGTTGTTTCTACGATTGTATGAATTCACTCTTTTTGAGAAAGTCTCTACAAAAGTATAGTATGAAAAACTGAGACTAAGATTAAAGTGGACTTCGGCTACGACAGTGTACAATCTTGAGAGTTGAGACTGATTACCTGAAGCAAGAGGGTTGAATTATCCTCTATTGAAGAGAAAGTGTCCAGCTTGCTAGCAGTAATAACTTCCCCTACTCTCCCATCCTTCTGTTTCTCTTCCTCCTTCCCTTTCAAACTTTCCTATCCTCATCTCTTGTCGCTCTCTCTCTCTCTCTTTGTTTTTTAATCAGTTAAGATTTTTGTGTGGTGTTTGATTTTGTTTTTTTTTTTAACCAAAAACGTGTGACGAGAGGTAACAAACAAAGTGGAAGTATGGTGTGATATATCTTCTGTGAGACGGGTAGAGTGATAGACATAGTGAACACACTCAAGTAGACAAAGGTTTATGATGATCAAGCAAATTTTGAAGTTTCATGCTCGAAATTCCTACTCTGTACCCATAGGACATTTAAACATTGCCCTTAAAGGTTCCCCTTCTCCATATTTAACTGTTGTGTATTAGACTGCATGATTGTCTGCTATGTATTGGACTGCATGATTGTCTGCTTTGAATTAGACTGCATGATTGTCCGCTGTGTATTGTACTGCATGATTGTCCGCTGTGTATTGGACTGCATGATTCTTGATTCACCACTTTCAAATCGCCTTTGGGTCCACACATGGGGTTGCCTCAACTTGCCTGAAACAGGCGGTTTCAGGCAACCCAATGTATGGACCTAAAGACAATCTGAAAGTGGACCCACAGACAATCTGAAAGTGAATCAACCTGAAGTGGTTGAACCGCCTAAAGGCGGTTTCAGGCAACCCCATGTGTGGACCCAATCTGAAAGTGGTGTAGTAACCTGAAGTGGCTGAACCGACTGAAGGCGGTTTCACACAACCCCATGTATAAGGCCATAGACAATCTGAAAGCGGTGTAGTAACCTGAAGTGGCTGAACCGCCTGAAGGCGGTTTCAGACAACCCCCTGTATGTAGCCATAGACAATTTGAAAGTGGTGTAGTATCCTGAAGTGGCTGAATCGCCTGAAGGCGGTTTCAGACATCCCCATGTCTGGGACCCACAAACAAACTGAAGGTGGTGAATCAAAGCTCGAATTTCTGAACCGTCTGGAAGCGGTTCAGCTGACCCCGTGTACATGTCAAGCATCAATCTGAAACTACTCTCTCAACCTGAAGTGGCTGAACCATCTGAAAGACGTTTCAACAGACCCTATTTACATCTCCAGCATCAATTTGAAACTTCTTCATCAACTTGAAGTGGCTGAACAGTCTGAAAGAGGTTTCAGCTGCTCCCCATCCACATATCAAGCATCAAACTGAAATTGCTACATCAACGAGACTTTTTCATGTTCTGCTTTCATTATGTGAAAGCCACTGTGATAAACTGAAACCCTAGTTTCAGAGAACCACCAAAAGTTAAAAGCTCAAATTTTTGAACCCTGTTTTCATTTCCAGTATCAATCAGAAACTTAATCAACTTGAAGTGGCTTAACCATCTGAAAGATGTTTCAGCTGCTCCCCATCCACATATCAAGCATCAAACTGAAACTGCTTCATCAACCAGAGTTCCTCATATTCTACTTTCATTACGTGAAAGCCACTGCGATAAACTGAAACCCTAGTTTCGGAGGACCACCAAAAGTTAAAAGCTCAAATTTCAAATGACTCAGACACTTCAGCCTCATTCAGAGTTTTTCAATTTCAAACCCACTTATTCGTCTGAAGCTTCTGAATGAACGTGAACTGTTTGACACTGGTTTCAGAGGTTTATGTATTCTACATTCAGTTGAACTGTCTGAAAGTTGTTGAGCTCCTTCCTCAACCTTAAGTGGCAGAACCATCTGAACCAACCTGAAGTTGATGTATCACACCATATTTTTCAGCTTTGAAACACACTTCAATTCGAGCTTTTAACTTTTGTTGTCCAGTTGCTTCCTCAACCTGAAGTTGTTCAGCTGCTTCCTCAGTCTGAAGTGGTCGAACGTCTCAAACAGCTTCAAATCTTCATCATTTAAAAACCCTCACCAATCAGCACGGAATATTCCAACGTGAAAGTCACTGTGATAAACTGAAACCCTAGTTTCAGACCAGGGTTTCAGAGGACCCAAACATGCAAAATGGCCATATTCAGATGCAAAATTACCTGAAAAAAGTTAAAAGCTCAAATTTCAGCTTTTAAGCATTCTATAAAATATGAAAACGGTATGTTTCAGAGGACCCAAACATGCGAAGCAAAATGGCCATATTCAGATGCAAAATTACCTGAAAAAAAAACACTAATTTTAACATTTGAAGCGCACTTCAATTTATTCAGGTCTGAAAATTCAAGCTGTCGTTAACCGTTGGTGGCCCATTTCTCTTTTCTACACCATGCCTGAAGCGTGGCGTGGACAGGGTAGAGAAAGAGGTGGTAGGGCAGGTGAAGCCAAAGAAGATCCGCCGGCTAGGGCACGACGCGACTATAGCTCAGAAGAGGAGGAAGAGGAGGAACCACGAGGCTACGACGCGACTATAGCTCAGAAGAGGAGGAAGAGGAGGAACTGCGAGGCTACGGCCGTTTAAGGCCATACCCTCGCTACTCGTTAGGAGGGTGGTACGAGAGAACTCCGTCTCCTGACAGGATGGAGTTACTTCGCAAGAAATTYGACGCGCGMTATGGTAYACCCAACGCCTCTTCKCCTCCTTATATCCCCMGAGYTCCTTCCACCCCTGCCGTAAGCAAGGCTRTAGTGCYCGCTCCGCCTCCCTCKGTTCCATGTACTGYCTCATCACCCCATCATCCYAGTCAYTGTGTTCTCTTCARCATCTTMTTTCTTCTCTTCCTTTTCCAGCTTGAACTYATGGCTGTCTTTTATGTCTTATATAAGCGCGACTTCTTTTCAGCCTTTTGAATCCGATTTTTGGCTCACAAAATTCTCAATCCAGTCCACTTCATAGCGTCCCAGGCCTGAGAGTTTGGCTTCCTTAGGCCAGGGACGCCGGTTCCTTGTGGACCAGGCCGCTTGTCGGCCACCAAATAAATTTAAGAAGAAATATATTTCTATTTTTTTTGCTTGCAGTTGATTCTGGCTTCTTATCATTATGAGGTCTGTCCTCACCTTGAACTGTACAGCAAGGAAAAGTTACCTTGATTTCCACCTCAGTTGAAAAGATCAAAACATCATCAGTCTGATATTACTACTTTAGTATTTGTTCAGTCTGCCATGCTGAAGGTAGAGCATACCAAACCCTCTTTTCTGCTTTCTGGCCTAGGCGAGACTTCTCTTC